GGTATACATATATATATATATATATATATATATATATATATATATAACTAAAGTTCTCAAATTATCTATTGTAACAAGAAATATAAATTGATTTACGGGATCATCTTCTTTTATCCCTATAGAGAGACTTAAAATTCACTTATTGAGTTTTCATTCACAAAATTTTAAATTAATTCTAGAAAAATAAATTACAAGCCTTCACCCAAATACTCTATTTATCAATTATCTTAGAATGTTAAGAAATGATAGTACATTTTTTTTCTTTCTAATATTATCTTTATTATTAACTAAAATTTATTAAAATCATAAATTTTATTATAAGACTTGTATCACATTTATTGAGTTGGTCTCCTTATTTATTAATATGACCTATCAAAATTTGTGATTTTCAACTTACTAAAAGGAGTAGTAGCAAAAAAGCATTAAAAAGATTATCATTGACCACCAATGTGCCAGAGGCTTTCTATGTCGAGTGTTTTTGACATTTTATGTTGGAACTAGATGTGACATTCCCGACAACATAGAATGTTCACACATTCTATAACAAGTCAATATGCGACATAAAAAATTCACTTTCTATATCGGTTAATCAATGCCCATCATAGTATGAGTAACAAATGTGATATTTTAATTACATTAACACATGCATTCTATGATAGGTATGACCAAATATGACATAGAAAGTGCACATTCTATGTCGGGTGTGGTCACACCTGTCATAAAATACAATTGTCATAAAATGTGCTACATTCTATGAGAAGTGTGACATTGATGGAGTAGTTCCTTCCATGGAAGATGACAATGGTTGATAGAAAAATGACAAATCCTATTGTCGATCTTCTGGTATTGAGGCATCCTGCCCAATCTGCATCGCTGTAAACAGTCAAGTTAAGATTTGAATCAGAGGGGAATAAAATACCTTGTCCAGGTGTGCCTTTTAGATACTGCAATAGATGATGAACTGCCTTAAGATGAGGACTTCTCGGACTTTGCATGAATTGACTTAGCTTATGGACAATGTATGTTATATCAGCACTAGTACATAATACACATTTTACGTCGGTCATTTTAGGGGTTTTTACGTCAGAAAAACTTTCGACGTTGAAGCGGGAGACTTAAATTTACGTCGGGGTGCGAAAACCGATGTAAATTTACGTCGGACATGCCAAGGTCCGACGTAAAAAAGTTATAAAAAATTTTAAAAAAATGAGTGCAAGCAGAACGGGCCGTTCTCCATGCAGAACGGGCCGTTCTGCTTGATAGACCCAGGAGTGGGTTCTCCAAACTCGGACTTGGTCACTTCCTTCTCCAGCTTCAAAAACTCGAAATGCAACACAAACATTATTACGAAAAAAACATCCCAGAAAACACTAACTTGATAGAAGATGCTACCTCATAGAAGAAAAATGCAACCCTCCGAAGAAGAAAAACATCATCACGCGAAGAAAAATAGAATAAGGTGCAGATGAGGAGGACAACCACGATTTGAGGAGGAGGCGGAGGGATGAGGAAGAAAAACAGATAGAAGAAGGTGCACGATTTGAGGAGGAGGCGGGAGAAGGAAATCATGAAATTTTTGAACTAGCTAATGCGCGCAATACACCTTCTTTTAAGCATCCTGTGGGTTATTTACGTCGGCCCTAATTGGGTTCGACGTAAATTTTAACATCTACGTCGGACACAATGCATAGCTGACGTAGATGTTAAAATTTATGTCGGACCCTTGGAGGTCCGACGTAAATAATTTAACAAAATTACGAAACGTGCTACCGTATTTTTATTACGTCGGGTCTTTGTATATCCGACGTAAAATGGGTGACGTAATATCCTATTTTTCCACTAGTGCAGGGCGCGAAATGGTAAGATACAAAAGTCTTCCGATAAGCCTTCTGTATAGAGATGGATCCGGTAGCAGATCGCCGGCTTCAGCAGTGAGGATGGTATTTGGATCCATTGGTAGTACAATTGGTTTGGAGGCTAAATAACCAGTGTCAGAAAGAAGTTGCAACACATACTTTCGTTGACAGAGATTGATTCCCTTTTTATTTCTAGCTATCTCCAAACCTAGGAAGTATTTAAGGTCTCCAAGCACTTTTAGCTTGAAATGTTTCTGTAAAGAAATATGCACTTGATGGATCCTTGAAGTATTGGGACCTGCAATGATGATATCATCAACATAGACAATTAAAATGACAAGGTTAGGACCATTACCACAAGTAAATAATGAGTAATCATGTCTAGATTGTGTAAAGCCTAGACACTTGAGTGTGGAGGAAAACTTGTTGAACCATTGTCTGCTTGCTTGTCTTAAACCGTATAACGACCTCTTTAACTTGCAAACAAGGTGTTTTTCTGATGTGGGGTATCCTGGAGGCAACGTCATGTATAATTCTTCATGTAGGTCGCTATTCAAGAAAGCATTACTAATTTCAATTTGGAAGAGGTGCCAACGTTTAATGGCAGCAACAACAAGAAGTGTTCTGATTGTTGTCATTTTAGCCACATGAGTGAAAGTATCTGAGTAGTCTATTCTAGGCTGTTATGTATAGCCTTTTGCAACTAATCTGGCCTTGAGTTTGTCGGTCGTGCCATCTAGATGGTATTTAACCTTGTAGACCCACTTACAACCTATGCATCTCTTTCCTTTAGGTAGCCTGGCAAGAGTCCAGGTATCCTTATCTTCAAGAGCTCTTAATTCTTCGCTCATGTCTTCTCTCCATTAAGGAAATTTCATTGCTTGGTGATAGAATGTTGGTTCATAAATGGATGAAACGTGACCAATGAAATATTTGTACTTGGGTGACAAATTATCATAGGTAAGGTATTCTTGTATGGGATATAGAACTGCATTGGTACAGTCGTAGGCTTCTAAATAGGCAGGTTTATTTGAAGTTCTGGAAGATTTTCTTGTGCCTGGTAAGTATGTAACATCTGTAGGGTGTGTTTGAGCAACATGTTGAGTAGTGGCAGAATTATGATCAGGTGTATCTAAGGTCTGATTATCGGGAGGGCTAGATTCAGGTGAATTATTGTGGGGCCTTGGAAGAGTGAGATCCTGTGTATGATGAGTGGAATCAGGATCAAGTTGTATATTGGTTTTTGTGGGTTGACAATTATCAGAAGATGAAATGGGTAAAGGAATAACAGTATCATGAAAGAAGTCCTGTGTTTCATGTCCAATGATGGAATGGTACGAAAAAGTGGTTTCGTGAAAGATAACATCCCTGGAGACAAAAACCCTTTTGGTCTAAATGTCGCACAGCTTATATCCCTTCATCCCCAGAGGATAGCCAACAAAGATACAAGTTGTGCTTCTTGGAGAGAATTTATCTCTTTGGGAGTTTAATGTTGCTGCAAAACACAAACAACCAAAACTTTTTAGCACAGTATAATCATGATCCTTACCATATAAAAGATTGTAGGGTGAGATGTTCTTAGTATTGGGAGAGGGCATCCTGTTTATAAGGAAGGCAGCAGTAGTGATACAATCCCCCCAGAAACGAATTGGGATTTTAGATTGATAATACAAGGCTCGTGCAACACTTAGAAGATGTTGATGTTTTCTTTCCACCACGACATTTTGTTGGGGTCTTTCAACACAAGATAGTTGATGAATAGTGCCTTTTTCCTTGAGGAATTCTGTCAAGGCAAGCTCTTTGGCATTATCACTCCGGAATTGTTTGATGGTGACTCCAAATTGAGTTTGAATCAAACTAAAAAAAGACTTGATTGCAGAAGTTGCTTCTGCTTTGGTTCTTAATAAATGGATCCATGTGTATCTGGAATGATCATCTACCAAAGTCAGAAAATATTTCATAGAATTATAAGTGGGATGTCTATATGGTCCCCAAACATCACAATGTATCAAATCAAAAGGTTTGGTACAAAAATGATTATGACATTGAAAAGGTAATCTCTTGAATTTAGCAACAGGACAAATATGACATGTAGATGAAGAATAGGAATTTGACATAGTAAAAGGAACTTTATTGCTTAACATTTTCAAAACAAGGTCATTCACATGACCAAACCTATAGTGCCATATATCTGTCTGTTTATTACAAGTGGGAAAACTAGAAATGAAAGTAAAGTGTGTTGGAAAATTAGCATTAGAACAAAAAACAGTATCAATTTGTTGTTTGTTGGAAGGCTGTTTCAAAAGGTATAATCCCTTTACAGCTTCACCCGTGCCAATCGTCCGTTTGTGAAGAGTATCCTGCAAAACGAATTTATTAGACTCAAATGACAATGAAAGAGGGTTGTCCCTTAGAAGACAATGTACAGATAACAAATTGTATTTAAATTTTGGCACATATAACTTTCATCACACAACTACATCTTCTCATCATATCACAATATTCAACATTTTCTGAGTCATAGAATCAAACACCTTCACGCCCGGCACAAGTAAACTCGCGCCCGCCCTGAACCCAACCTTAGAGCTCTAAAGCTCTTCCACGCCCGGCATATCATCATCACGCCCAGCGTGTTGGGAGGCAGAGACTTCCAGGAGTCTCCCAAGCCCGGCATGCCAAAATCGCGCTTGGCGCAACTTAGGCAGAGACCTCACCAGGGTCTCACGCCTGACGCGCTTATTTTGCGCCAGGCACCACCCCAAGTAGAGACCCCCAAGGAGTCTCTACGCCCGGCGTGTTCAAATCACGCCCGATGCCATATCAATAACTCAAAATTTTGAGCCACTATCTTATATCACACCTGGCGCGATTCTCCCCATGCCCGGCGTGATTCATCTAGAGACTTTCATTCCCAACCTCGCCCACGCAACCAACCTCGCGTCCGGTGTGCTTGGACAATGGAGTTCCCTGATGAACACACACCCGACGCCAAGAACTACGCCCGGCGTGAACTCAAACAGCAACCCTCACAACTTCGAAAATTTCAACCAAAAACCTGAAAATCAGCCAACTCAACACATGCAATCCATGAAATGAAATGCATAGACTTCATACAACTCAGAAACAACCTCAGATTCAACATGCAACTTCTCAAGGCATCAAAATTATCAAAAACCTCATTTTTCCCAAAACCCCGAAAAAAATGAGAAGCTCTTCAATCCAACCATGAATCCTCCGAATTCAAGCATCTATCCTCGTTACCTGATAGTTGGTCAGGAACTGTCACAGCACTCGCTAGTACATCTGGTTTCTATCCTCGTTGCCTGATAGTTGGTCAGGAACTGTCACAGCACTCGCTAGTACATTTAAGACTACGAAATTGACCTTCGAAGGAATTAGGGATTTAATTCTTGGTGAGAATGTTCGTAGGAGAAATGCCTTGCTATCCTCATTACCTGATAGTTGGTCAAGAACTGTCACAACAGTCGCTAGTACATCTAGGACTATGAAATTGACCTTCAAAGGAATTAGAGATTTAATCCTTGGTGAGGATGTTCGTAGGAGAAATGTCGGAGAATCAGCAGGTTCCTTATTAAGCATAGAAGGTAGAGGTAGAAGGCCTGAAAGGGGGCAAGGTTCTAGGCATGATAGATCAAAGTCCAAGAAGCAAGGATAGTCCAAACCTCGCAGGATATTATCTGTTGGAAATGTCAGTAGAATGGCCACTTCAAAAACTAGTGTACTACTCCTTTTGCCTCGATCCCTAACAAGTGGTATCAGAGTTGATGATTTGATCAAGTGACCGGCTCAATGAGTATGATGGAGTTGGCAGGTGGATCCAAGTTTGGGATCCCTTGTGTCGAAAGTCTTCCTAACAGTGGGTCCATGTGGAAGAAAGTCTTCCTGGTAACATGGAGGGTCAGGAGGCGTGTCCCGTTCACGATGGAGCGGCGACTCAAGTACTTAGAGCATGACTGAGCTCTATGGGCCACTATTGGATATACTCATGAACTGTGATAGCTTTCGTTGAAAAATGGGGGGCTCTATAGGCCACCATCAGATATACTCATAAACTGTGATAGCTTTCGCTGGAAAATGGGAGTAGAACCATGGTCCTTTGTTTGAGGGGAGGATTGTTAGGATGTAAGCAAAGTCTCACATCATTCACACAAGAGGATAGACATGCGTTTATATACACACAGTTGTCTCCATTGGTTCAGAGGTCTTTTAGGACTTGACATAGAATAATAACAGGTAAAGCCACACTTGTGACACTCTCTACCTACCATAACATATAAATAAAATATAACTAACTAACATCGTCTCTTATAAATAAAACCAAACTTGTTCAAGTATAGATAATGACATTGTTAACATGTCTAAAATAGGGAGAAGTAACTAAAATCACAAGAATTAAAAATGGAACCAAATAAATCAACAAAAACAAACATCCCAATCTAATATTAACTACGTCTTAGTATCACATGTTCTATCAAAATAAAACCCAGCACTGAAGCCTAAGCTTCATCACCAACATATTCATCCTTATGTTGATGATCACCTACATAACAACCAAGGGAAAAGAACACAAAAAAAGGAGTAAGAAATATCTCACTCTAACTCATGAAAGTAGGAATGCAAACCGGGTAGCCAAACACAAACAAGGCATACAACAAGACATAACATACATAGATAAATATAATCATGTACGTGGCACTAGTGAACACATAACACATGTGCATTATTGCTAGCAATATACGTAAAGTAGCCTAGGAGTACATGTTGGGTTACACCTTTTGAACACTCTCACCTAGAAGGACATACTACCAAGGTCTGATCGAGATAGCTAAGTTGTGCAATATACATCCCATGCACACAAAGGCATAATTGGGACTTCCCAAACCAAGGTTGGTTATAAATCTTTTACAGAAGGGATCTTTCCTAATAGTGTATTCCATATTGTACCCCAAAAATATATTTTAAGCAAATAATGCATGTCAAATAGACTCAATTCAGTACATGTACATGATCTCACTTCACATATCACATGTTCCTCATATCACATCATATATCCCATGTACATTCTCAAATATATCAACTAATTAATCATTAGTAGAAATGTAGTATCAAGATCATAAGATAATACATCATCCAATTCATACATGGTTCATGCACATGTATCATACTTTGTATCTCAAACTTATGAATATGACTTATCTCAAGTAATAGAGGTGATAAAAAGAAGAAAAGACAAGAAAATAAGTGAGAAACAGGAGCATCAACATGAGTCACAACCATGACTCATGGATCACAACCGTTACTAGCTCGGTGAAATCCAAAGGGTCAAGATCAAAATGAGTCGTGGTTGTGACTCACCAATCGCATATGTAATGCCATTTATGCCCGTGATTGACCAGTCATAGTTGCGACTTATTGGTCACACCTATGACAAAATCTAACATTGCGATTTTTGACTCTTTGAACCTTGAAACTCATCCCATTACCATAATTCATGTCCATCAATTCA